CCAACTTGGACATGAGCAAAATCTACGTGGGAACTTTTTTTGCCCTCACGCCAAACTCAATTGGGCCGTTTAATTAGAATGACTGGATGAATTTCGCCGACCACACCTTGAGTCACATTCATTGGCTCTTTTTTTGCCAGAATGGTACTATCGTTACAACAGAATATTATATCTGTAGTACAATCGTGTATGAAGGACAAGGATATTTCATGTACTGAAAGTTAAACTCAAGTGTTATTGCAATGAAGGATGGTCTAAATGTGTTTGCCAAAAAGACCAATGAACATCAATGTTTATCTATCTTCTGAACATTCTGTTTCATCTAAATCCTCTGTTGCTTTTGCATTCGGTTCTAATACGAAACCTTCTCCATGCTGCTGACGAGTAAATAGATCAGTCAAAAGAGGTTTATATACTCTCTTAGAATGGCTCGGTGCACACGCTGCAGTCGCATTGATCATCAGCTCTAAATGCTCTTTAGTAAATTGATTGGATATTTCTCCATGAGCCAGCACATTGTTATGCCTCTACAGTGCAGTCCGACACCATTAGCGTGCTGTCCTGAAGGATATCAGTATTATGGTGTATGCAACGCAAAAAGCTACCAACCTAATGTATTTTGTTACATTTATTTATATGTTCTTATGAAATAAAACAACTGGCTTTTGAGGGACGGCTTGTTTTTTTTCCTTCATATATTGTTAGTATTTTAGTAGGAGCGGGAATACAGTGAAATACAGTGAAGAAAATTTAATAAATTTTTGGAAAAAAATGTGTTGGTCATTAACATTATGCTATAAATTGTGTGGAGTCAGAATAACTTACACTGAACTCAAAATATTCCTTTTTAGGGATAGTTCACCTAAAAATGAAAATTCTGTCATAATTTACTCAACCTCCACTTGTTCCAAACCTGTATGAGTTTTTCTATTCTGTTGAACACAAAAGAAGATATTTTGAAGAATGTTGGTAACCAAACAGTCGACGAAAGCCATTGACTTCCACACTATTCCACACTAATTAAAGTCAATGGCTAGCGTGAGGGAACTTGAGGGTGAGCAAATGATGACAGAATTTTCATTTTAGGGTGAACTGTCCCTTTAAGAACTTAAAAATCTTCTATCTCTAGGGGCCCTATCATACACCCGGTGCAAGGCGTGGTGTTTAAATAGCAAATGCATTTGCACCCATTTGTGCGCCCATGGGCGTGCTGGTCTGAAAAAAGAGGTGTTCAGGCACGTTGTTGGCGCGTTGCTATTTTGAGGAACTGAAAATAAACTGCGCCATAGACCAACTCAAACCTGGTCTAAATATATAAAGGAATAGGCGGGTGCACAGCGGGCATACACTTTGCTTATTACACACACAGTGACGGCACACAAACATTTTTAAATATGAAAAATTACATTCCGCCATGTAAATAGCGAACCCGCCATGGCGTGAGCGCAACTGGCTTTTAAAGGGGATGGGAGATGAGACTCTGATTGGTTTATTGCACGTTACGCCCAAAAAACACCCATTACTCATTAAGAGAATAGGGACAACCCGTTTAGACCATGCGCCCGGGCGCGCCGACCGTTTTCCCATCGTTAAAGGGGTCATATGACGTTGCTAAAAAAGAAACGCGCCGATTTTAACAAAGCTCATCGGTCTGAAAAGCAAGGTGTGCTCTGATTGACCAGCTATCCAGTGCGTTGTGATTGGCCGAATTCCTCAAACGTGTGACGGAAATGTTACGCCCCTTACCATTCTGTG